AGGATATGGGGTTAGGGTCAGGGTCGGGGTTGTTCCCCGCCCGCAAGCCGCTTCGCTCACTCCCACCCGCCCTCCCAACACATACGTAGCACCCGAGCCTGGCCCGAGCCGCAGCATATTCAGCAGTCGTCTTAGGATGGGAAGCTAGTAAGGGCGAGTCCACCGCCGCCTCCGACGCCGCCGCCCCCGCCCGCCGCCGCCGCCGCGCCGCCGCCGCCGCCGTTGTGGTGTTGAAGGGTTAGGGATAGGGCTAGGGTTCAGGGCCGGGGTAAAGGGTGAGGGTTAGGGCGAGGGTCAAGTTAACCAGCTCGAACGAGCCAGAGGGCGCCGTCCACTCCCACCCGCCCTCCCACAACATAAGAAGCAAGTGCGTCGCGTCCGACGCCTGCCGTTCATCTTATATCGCGGGCGGCTAGACGTTCAGCGCGCGACATGAGCTGTGTCCTATCCCTGCCGCGTATTGAGCAACGTCGACGAGAAACAAAACCGCGCGCGACGTACGCCCGCCCAGCTCCTCAACCCGACGGGCCGCAGCGTCGACGACAAGGAAGTCCGCGTTGACGAGCAGGCGTCCCCGCGCGATGCGCGCCGCGTACTATTCCCGCCACGCGATTCGTAGCGCCGACGACGAGAAAGTACATTCTGGCAAGGAAAACGTCGACGCTGCAGTGTTCTTCTGATACGTAGGACAGGGGGGTTCCGCGTAGGGTTGGCCAGGCGTCCGCGCGCGATGTGCGCCGCGTCCTATCCCCGCCACACTTTTCGCAGCCACGACGACAAGACAGTCCACGTTGACGAGAAAAGCGTTGACTTTGCATTGTTTTTTGATGGGCAGGACGCGACCACCCGCTTAGGGTTACCCACGCGATGTTCATTCCTGCTACACGTTTCGCAACTCGACGACATGTTGGCGAGGACAGGATTGAGTTTGTGCTGTTCTTTGACAGTTAGGACGGCGGGGTTGGTATCGGCCGGCTAGGTGGGAATGCGGGGGGTTTTATCACAGGAAGTAAGGATGGGGGCGGGGGTCAAGTTAGCCAGCTCGAACGAGCCACAGGGCTCCGTCCACTCCCACCTGCCCTCCCACAACATTAGAAGCAAGTGCGTCGCGTCCGACGCCTGTCGCTAATCTTACATCGCGGGCGGCTAGACGTTCAGCGCGCGACATGAGCTGCGTCCTGTTCCTGCCGCGCAATGAGCAACGCCGACGAGAAACAAGACCGCGCGCGGTGTACGCCGCGCCCCGCTCCGGCCTCCCACGTTGCATCGTCGGCGACAACATGCCCAGCGCGCGAAGCGCGCCGCGTCTCATTCCAGCCACGCGCGTTGCACCGCCAATCGCTTCGGTCCTGCCGCGCATGGAGGATGGGGAGGAGGAGGACGAGGAGGAGGAAGAGGAGGAGGAGGAGGGGAAGGAGAGAGAGGGAGGGAGGGAGAAAATGAGGAGGGAGAGCAGAATGCCTCTTGGGAATTCGCGGAGCGTCCTGGGAACTTTCTGGTATACGCCTGAGGGCCTCTTGGATATATCTTCCGGGCTTTGTCAGCACAAGTAGGTGCCAACCTCACAATTTTGTAAAACACCAAATGAAAATCAATATTTGCGTTGCCTCCCCAGGACCTCCTGGACGCTTTTTTCTACCTATTTGGGGTCTCCGAAGGCACTTGCTTGAACCGCGCGTGCTTGAGGCATTATGACTTGCCGCCCGCCCAGCTCCTCAGCCCGACGGGCCGCAGCGTCGACGACAAGAAAGTCCATGTTGACGAGCAGGCGTCCCCGCGCGATGTGCGCCGCGTCCCATTCCCGCTCCGCGACGCCGACGAGGAGAAAGCACAATGAAGTCCACGCTGACGACAAAAACGTTGACCCTGTATTGCTTTTTGATGGGTAGGACGCGACCACCCGCTTAGGGTTACCCACGCGATGTTCATTCCGTCTTTCTTGCTACACTTTTCGTAACTCGACGATATGTTGGCGAGAAGCAAATTGAGTTTGTGTTGTTGCTTCGACAGTTAAGACGGCGGGGTCGCGGGGACGTGGGGGTGTTTAATCATAAAGAGTAAGGATAGGGGTTAAGGGTCAAGTTAGCCAGCTCGAACGAGCCAGAGGGCGCCGTCCACTCCCACCTGCCCACCCACAACATAAGAAGCAAATGCGTCGCGCCCGACGCCTGTCGTTCATCTTATTTCGCGGGCGTTCAGCGCGCGACATGAGCTGCGTCCTGTTCCTGCCGCGCAATAAGCAACGCCGACGAGAAACAAGACCGCGCGCGATGTACGCCGCGCCCCGCTCCGGCCTCTCATGTTGCATCGTCGGCGACAACATTTCCAGCGCGCGAAGTGCGCCGCGTCTCTGTTGCCGAAGGTCACTGTTGCCAAAGGTCTCTCTTACGTGGACACGACAACGGGCGCGCCGGCGGCGAACCGCACTTGCTTGAGGCATTATGACTTGCCGCCCACCCAGCTCCTCAACCCGACGGGCCGCAGCGTCGACGACAAGAAAGTCCATGTTGACGAGCAGGCGTCCCCGCGCGATGTGCGCCGCGTCCCACTCCCGCTACGCGATTCGCAGCGCCGACGAGGAGAAAGTATATGTTGGCAAGAAATTCGTCGACGTTGCGGTGTTTTTTGGCAGGCACGACGGGGGGTCCCGCGTAGGGTCGGCCAGGCGTCCGCCCGCGATGCGCGCCGCGTCCCATTCCTGCTGCACTTTTTGCAGCGTCGACGACAAGAAAGTCCACGTTGACGAGAAAAACGTTGACTGTATATTGTTGCTGGCAGGTAGGACGCGACCACCCGCTCAGGGTTACCCACGCGATGTTCATTCCGTATCATTCCTGTTACACGTTTCGTAGCGTCGACGACAAGAAAGCCCATGTTGTCCAGAAAAACGTTGACGTTGTTGTTGTTTGATTGATGGGTAGGACGCGACCACCTATTTAAGGGCTACCCAAGCGATGTTCATTCCGTCCTTTTCCTGCTACGTGCCTCGCAATTCGACGACAAGCTGGCGAAACAAATGAGTTTGTATTGATTTTAAACCGTTAGGACGGCGAGGTTGCTATCGGCAGGTTGGGTGGGGGTTTGGGGGCGTTTAATCATAAGAAGTAAAGATAAAGGGCTAGGGTTAGGGCAGGAGTCAGCGTTGGGATTAGGGGCTAGGGTTGGGGTTCAAGCTTCAGGTTAGGGGCTAGGGTCAGGGGTTAAAGGTGAGGGTTTAGGGTTGAGGTTCGGTTAGGGTCGGGGCAGGGGTCAGGATCATGATGAGTAGGTCCAGGTTAGGGTTTAGGGTGGGGGTTAGGGTTAGGGGTCAAGACTCCCTCCCTGCCCGCAAGCCGTTTCGCTCATTCCCACCCGCCCTCCCAACACATACGTAGCACCCGAGTCTGGCCCGAGCCTAAGCATATTCAGCAATCGTCTTGAAATGTTCAGCTACTGGGGGCCAATCCGCCGCCGCCGCCGCCGCGTCCGCCGCCGCAGCCGCCGCCGCCGCCGCCAAGTGTACTTTGTATTGTTTTTGACAGGGATGGTGGGGTGAGGCCGCATCGGGCTGGCTGCGCATGCTCCGAATTTGGAGGCAGAGTGTGGTTCGTATTATTTTTTGTTGCAAGGGATGGTGGGGGGTGCCCTCATGATTCCTGGTTGGCTACCAATCGCCTGGGGGAGGGGGTGTTTATTCATAGGGAACAGTGATTAGGGTGGGGGGTAAGGTAGAGGTTAGGGTTAGGGTAGGGGTTAGGGTAGGGTTGGGGGTTTGGGGTTGGGGCTAAGGGCTAATGTTAGGGATTAGGGCTACGGTTAGGGGTTCGGGTAAACTTTGGGGGGTTAGGGTTAACGCATAGGGTTGGGGTTAAGGATGAGGGTCAGTGTTAGGGGTGGGGGTAGGGGTTAACGGTTGGGTTGAGGTGAGGGTTTAGGGTAGGGGTTGGGGTTAAGGTTAGGGTTTAGGCTAGGGGTTACGGCAGGGTTGGGGGTTAGGGTCAGGGTTAGGATTTAGGATGTTGGATTAGGGCTTAGGGTAAGGGTTAGGGATTAGGGCCAGGGTTAGGGGTTAGCGTAGGGTTAGGGGTTAGTGTTAGGTCTTAGGGTTAGGTCTTAGGGTTAGGGTCAGGGATTAGGGTTAGGGTTAGGGGCCAGGGGCCAGGGTTAGGGGTAATGGGTAGGGTTCCGGATAGGGTTAGGGTAGGGGTCAGGGTTAGGATCAGGGTTAGGCTAGGGGTTAGGGTTAGGATCAGGAGTTAAGGTTTAGGGGCAGGGCTTGGGGTAGGGGTTAGGGTGGGGATTAGGGCTTGAATTAGGGGTTGGGGTAGGGATTTGGGTAGAGGCTAAGGTTACGCGTAGGGTAGGGGTTAGGGTTAGGAGTGGGGGGTTGGGTTAGGGGTTAGGGGTTAGGGCAGGGATTAGGGGGGGGGCCAGACACCCCTCCCTTTGGCGCATCCAGCGGCGCGCCCTCGATGGTGATGGTGTTGGCGGTGATGGTGATGATGATGTGTATGATGACGATGACGATGACGGAGAAGAATAAGTAGATAATGGTGTTGACGATGGTGTTGATGATGTTGTTGATGATGATGAGGATGAGGATGATGATGATGATGATGATGATGATGATGATGATGATGATGATGATGATGATGATGATGATGATGATGATGATGATGAGGATGAGGATGAGGATGAGGATGAGGATGAGGATGAGGATGATGATGAGGATGAGGATGAGGATGAGGATGAGGATGAGGATGAGGATGAGGATGAGGATGAGGGTGAGGATGAGGATGAGGATGAGGATGAGGATGATGATAATGACGCTGATGATGGTGATGCTGATGATGATGGTGAAGAAGAAGAAGAAGGTGACCGTGCTGACGATGGTGATGTATCCGGAGGAGGAGGAGGAGGAGGAGGAGGAGAAAAGGAGGTGGCGAGGAGGAGGAGGAGGAGGAGACAGAGGAGGAAGAGGGGTCCCCCCGAGCCCCCCCCCTCGCCTCACACACCAGCAGGAATGCCTGGGCCGCCGCTGCCTGGCATGCCCATCATGGGCCCAGGGCCCGCGCCTTCGAATACAGGCCCTGGGCGACGCCGTTGACCATCGCAATTTTCCGGAAGGGGGGCAAGAGGGAAGGGGGCAGGAGTAAAAGACAGAGGAGTAGAACAGAAGAGGAATAGGAGGCGTGCCTCCCTTCCTTGCCCTCCTCCTCATCATCATCTTCCAGCTTCGTTGCCATGCTCATCCTCCAGGATGGGAGATCCCACCCCTTCCTTCTCGAGGGAGGGGGGAGGGGGAAGGGACGCAGGGAGGAGGAGGAGGAGGAGGAGGAGGAGGAAGCGGTGGAGGAGGAAGTGGAGGACGACGACGACGGCGGCGAGATGCAGGATACAGGAGGATGGGAAGGAGGATGGGGGTAGGAGAAGGGAGGAGGATGAGGAGGAGGTGGAGGCGGGGGCAGAGAGATAGATGAGGAGGGGAAGCAGGAGGAAAAGGAAGAGGAGGAGGAGACCGAGGAGGCCGAGTAAAGGGAGGAGGAAGAGAGGCAAGAAGCAGAGGGCAGGGAGAGAGGAAGAGCAGCAGCAGCAGAAGAAGGAGGATGGGAGGAAACGGAAAACTCAGGCGATCGCAAACATGGATCAAGGGGGCGTGGATTAGCGACGGGCCCCGTTTCCATGGGAAATGGCGGATTTCCGCCGCCGAGCGAGCCGGCACCGGCCGCATTCTGGGGAGGGCACCTCCCCCGATCCATGGATTTGGTGACCGCGCGCCAAATCCATGGATTGCTGATCCATGTTTGCGCTGATCCATTCGTGACCGCTGCGCCCTCTGCCACGACAAAAATTTACAGCGCTGCTGTCCTCCCTCCTCCATCCACCCCAGCGTCGTCGGCAAAAGCTCCAAATACGGCGAACGAGGCGGGCAAGAGGAGGAGGAGGAGGAGGAGGAGGAGGAGGCGGAGGAGGAGGAGGGGGAGGAGGAGGAGGAGGAGGAGGAGGAGGAGGAGGAGGAGGAGAGGAGGAGGAATAGGAGGAGAAGGAGGAGGAGGAGGAGCGCTGGGGGGGCAGGAGGAGGAGGCCGAGGGCGGAGTGCAGAGGAGAGCCTCCAGAAGCATGCAAGAAAGCAAGCCCGAGACGGCGACGACATCGTCGGCGTCGTCCTCGTCGCTCTCGGCGTCTCCCCCCACAGCTCGACATCGGCAGTCCAGGGGTGTGTTACGACAAGAGCCCCGAGGGAGCTCGTCGCCCTCGTCGTCGTCCTCGTCGCCGTCGTCCTCGCAGCCGTCGCATTCGTCGACGCCGCCGCCGTCGTCCTCGTCGTCCTGATGCTCGTCGCCGTCGCCGTGGGAGTCGTCCTCGCCGCCGTCCTCGCCGCCGTCGTCGTCGCCGTCGTCCTCGTCGTCGCCGTCCTCGTCGCCGTCGCCGTCACCGTCGCCGTCGCCGGCGGCGTCTTCCACGACGTCGTCCTCGCCCTCGTCCTCGCCGCCGCCCTCGTCCTCGTCGTCGCCGTCCTCGCCGCTGCCGTCGGCGGCGCCTGCCCCTCGCCGTGCCGCCGCCCCCTCCGTGCCCACGCCCTCCGGAGGCGGCCCCGGCGCGCGCGGGCGCGCCGGGCCGCGCTCGCAGCTGCCCGCCTGGGCGCTGGGGGCGCCGTAGCGGCCGCCGGGGGGAGCGCCTCGTTCGACGACGACGAGGGCGATGACGACGGCGAGGACAAGGACGAGGACGACGGCGAGGACGACGACGACAACGAGGACGACGACGACGACGACGAGGATGACGAGGATGATGAGGACGAGTATGACGAGGACGAGGGCGACGACGAGGACGGGGAAGAGGACGACGACGACGACAATGGCGGTGGCGAGGACGAGGAGGACGACGACGACGACGACAACGACGACGACGACAACGACGACGACGACGACGACGGCTGCGCCCCCGACGACGTCAACGACGACGGCGCCGACGACGACGGCGGCGGCGGAGGACGAGGACGACTACGACGACGAGGAGTGTAACTTTGGGGCTATGACGCGTGTGTTGTGTCCTTGGGCGCCCTCGTCGCCGCGGCTGGATTTCTTCAAAAGTTATGGAAGGTTGTGGTCAGAACACACCTGTGGACGTGTCTGGGGATTGGCATGTTGGGGGCGGAGACGACGACGACGACGACGACGACGACGACGACGACGACGACGACGACGACGGCGGTGGCGGTGGCGGTGGCGGCGACGGCGACGGCGACCCCGACGTCATCGTTCGAGGGGAGAGTCTTGGAGGAGCGAAGCGGTTTACTTTGTTGGATCCTTCTGGTACGCTTCTCTGTTTCCAGAGGCCTCGAAACCAGGCTTCCGGCCGAGATGGGCCACGAGGCAGTCTTGGAGGCTGGAGGAGGCCGCACCGCGACGGCAGCCCCTTGGCGGCTCGCTGTCTCTGCGCCTGATATGCCACAAGCCCAAAAATTTCTGGACGTCGTCTCGTCGACTCGTCCCCGTCGTCTCGCCGTCTCGTCCTCGTCGCCTCGTCCTCCTCGTCCTGAGACACTCGGTGACTCGTCGTCTCGCTGCCACAGGCCCAAAGTTTGCGACGGCACAGCCCTGACCCGACAGGCAGCTGCGGCCGCGCCCAGCGCAGATCCGCTGAGCTCCGCCAGCCTGGGCCCCGACCCCCAAGGGGCCTGCGGCTCCCGAGGAGGGGGAGGGAGGGAGGGAGAAGGGAGGAGGGAGGGGGAAGGAGGGAGGAAAGGGAAGAAGGAGGAGGTTGACGAGGAGGAGGAGGAGGAGAAAGAGGAGATCGAAGAGGAGGAGGACATCGAAGAGGAGGAGGAGGGGGAGGAGGCGGAAAGGCAGAGGCTCTGGGGAATGTTAGGGCGCTCTCGGAAGTGCCAGAGCTTCTGCAGGGCACTCCGGCATTCTACCGTAGGGGGCTCTTGGAGGCGGACGAGGAGGAGCAGCAGCAGGAGCAGGAGGGTAGGAGGAAGGGGGGCGGAGGAGAGGGAGGATAGGGTATGCATGCTGAGCTAGGTTCGAAGGTCCAGATCTGGAAAATGAGGCGGTGAAACACACAGACTGGCACACATCGCACACACACACACACACACACACACTTCTTGGCGTCGCGGCCACGCGCGCAGCAACGCGGCGGAATCGGGTGAACAAGAGCGGTTCGTAGCGACGCAGTGGGCGCGGCAGGGCCATCAGGAGCGGGTCGAGTGGGGACATGCTGGGCTCACCCACAGGGAACCACACTGAACGAACTTTGTTACATACAGAAATACATATATATGTATATATATATATATATAAGACTGCAGTGGCGCTTCACGCCTTGCTTCTTGGTCCTTGAGGCTTTGCTTATGTTGGTCGTTCGCGCCGTCCCCTGTGGCCTTGGAAATTTGGCACCTTCCCTGAGGTGGTTTTCGGAAGCCTTCGAAAGTTCGGGCGGTCCGTGGCCCTTCCCCGCCAGGGGCTCACGAAAGGCGCTGGGTGGAGGGCGAAGGATAGGAGCGAGGGAATTTCGGGGAGCGAGGAAAAGTAAGCTGATGTTGGGGAGGACGAGCGGTGGAGCGGCAAACAGAGGAGAAGGAGAAAGAGGAGGAGGACCCAGAGGAGGAGCAGGAGGAGGGAAAGAGATGGTGCCGTCGGGGGACGGCGGAGAGTTATGGTTGCGCCGCAGAACGTACTGGGAATGAAGCGAGTTCTACGTTTTGGGAGTCATGTTCAAGGCCTCTTGGGCCGTTTTGGGGGTCTTTGGAGGCCATTCGGGTCATTCTTGGAGCGTTCTTGTGCTGTCTTGGGTTTTTCTTCGGCCTTTCTAATCACCGCTCTGATCGCCTGGGGTCTGTTGGCAAGACCTGGCCAAGCGCCCACGGGGGGTCGGGACGAGCTGGGGGACTTTTTGTCAAGGATGTCCAGGGGGCCTGGAAACCCCGGATCCTGGGGGTCCGGTTTTAGGGGGGGGGGCACCCCCTTGTTTCGTAAAGATGAGAGAGAGCTGTATGTATATATATATATGTATATATATATGTATATATATAGATATGAACAGCCCCCCTAGCACCCATTCATCGCCTTCGCTGTCTTGACGATGTTGTGGCGCCCTCTTCCTTTCCTTTTCCTTCCTTTCCTTCCCCTTCCTCGCTGGCATCTTTTCGGCTCCACCCGAGCGCGAGCTCAACGGCTGCGCGCTGCAGAAGATGCACGCGGCGCCGCCCCCCGAAGCGGGAGACCAAAGCTTGCGGCGACAATTCCGCTCGCACGATGGACCACCGAACCCGATGTTTCCATTGAGATCTTGGAGATTTTTGGTTTGGGAATCATGGAAACCATGCGAGTTCACTGACATTGTTGATTTTGTCTGTTTCTTGGTACCTCCGAACGAAAATCCACGCTGCGGCCCCGGGGGGCTCCGGATTTCAAGAATCCATGTGAGAACACAAGGTCTGGCACCCCCTTATTACACAAACCTTATGTTTTCATGCAGAGTTGGAACATTTTCGGCGCGGGAATCACGGAGACCATATGAGTTCACAAAGATGTTCGATTTTTTCGCACGAGAATCAACGCTGCAGTCCCCGAGAGCTCTGTATCTCAAACATGTGCAAACACAAGGTTTGGCACCCCCTCGCTTCGAAAACTTTGCGTCTTCACCGAGACGTTCGAAATCTCTGGGCCTTGGAAAACTGACGCATCGATTTACGTTCAAGGGCGCCCAAAACCAAACATCTGAAAGAAAAATGTCGAAATCACGCGGTTTCCGCGATTCCCAAACCAAAGAATTTAACACAAATTTCGCGAGAACGCAGGGTTGGGGGCTTCTTGGGCTCCGGAGGAGGAGGGGGGTGAGAAGGTGGAGGAGGAACAGGAAGCGATGCGGCACATAATGGGTAAGCTGCATGCGAGATGTGGTGCGAATATTAAGAACAGCATTGCGCAGGGCGAGAAGTGGGTGATATACGAGGCCACCATTCGCATTCGCAGAGGGCGGAGGATTGCGGGAAGCAGCAGCGGCAGCAGCA